AGACAAATCATTACGCTCGCTCATGCATATTTGACAAAGAAAACGTTAAAACAGCCTCAACTCCTGAGGTTTTAACCAGTCTGGGCCAGATATTGTTCTGGCAATCTGTGGCATTACTCAAGCCAGCTGGATATCGCGCCGTCCACGGCCGATACCACGCCAGACCACAGACATCGTTCCTTTCGCGTTTCTCCTCAAGGCAGACAGGAATTTTCTTGCTAGTGATCATTATGGGAATTAAGGCGCACAACAACCAGCTTATTGCTCCCAGCTATACCGCCTTTCAGCCAGTTGCGGTACATGAATCAAATCCTCACCAGGGTTGATGCGCTCTCGACTTCGTGAAGTGTCAGGCTGATCTGTCGAATGATTCTGTTGGGAATCTTCTATCACAGCATTCAGGGATGAGCCATTTGTACCTAGATCCAAACGCCTTGATGATCCTTCTACATTTCGCCTTTCCTCGTCGACAGTAAAGTTACTTCCCAGAGTATCAACGGAGCCGTGCCGATGTGATGACTCACCGGTGGCTTGATAGTCCTCATTTGCTACAATTTGAGGAGCGGCGTGCCGAGAGAAGCGGGTATTCTTGGGTAGTGCCCCAAGAAATACAACCTTTGATGGATCAATGGGCGTCCGTTGCACTGCTCGCTGTTGTGGCTCGTTCGAGGGTTTCGATGGAGAATGAGGTTCACGGTCAGAATGAGATCCACCCATTGCCATCGAGTTCATGGTATGGTGGTCCGAAGTCGGAGAAAGGGGTGAGTTTGGTAATGAAATGCTGTCATTAGTTGGCGATACTGGTATAGTAGCTGGAGAGGGTGCCTCGATGGGACGGCCATTCGCATCGAAGCCCGGAGTCATGGGAGATGGCAGCGGTATTGAGCTTGTGTTCGTGCCCCCTTGTTGTGTTGTTTTTAGAGATGCAGATGGCGATAGTTGCAGGGCCACAGGCGGAACATTTGTTGGGTTTGGCTGGTATATCGCTTTCTCTGCGGGTATCTCCGTCCCATCAGCAGGCGGAGTATATGTTGGAACTGGTCCCTGAAGTTGTTTTTCCAATTTTCTCCGGGCAATCTCATAGGCAGTCATGTTATAGGTGCTGTCGGTACCCATCTCCGTATCGTCATTCCACGACATACAATCATCACCATCAAGTTCTGCTATTGGCAATGGTGCTGACATCTCGTGGATTTGAGTATCGGGAACTTCAGCAACCTTTCCTCTGACATTGGCGCCATCTTCTGCTCGCTGAGTCGAGTTGTTCCGTCTGAGAATTTTCGAAAACAATATGACTAAAGGAGACTTTGGTGATCGCGATCCGTTATTTGGCGTAAGGTCCTGATCCTCTGCTGACGGGTTGTTGCTTTTGGCTGCTCGTTTACGTTTGCGTCGAAAGTATAACCACACAAACAAAGCTGCCGCACAGACGACGAAGACACCCAACCCAACACCTACTCCTATTCCAATCACCTGTCCATCTGAGAGTCCAGCTTCATCCTCTGCATATGGTGGAGGATAGGGACTGTTGTCAGACTGTTTAATGGCAGTCAATTCCGAATTTGTCGATGGCTCGTCTGGGAAAAGAGCTTGGTGGATTGAGAAGACACCCTCATCATACTTGGTTATAAGGTATGACTCCTGTAAAAATGAACGGCCTAGAATATACGACGCGCTATTCTTCGCCTTTCGTAGCATAAAGTAGGGGATCGCTGGGTCGCCGTATTGGATCGTATCGGGCATGAAAGGGTATTGCAGTAAGCCCACAAAGGCTCTCAAAGGTATGGTAATATTGACGATGCCTGGTACATTATAAGGGTCGCCAAAGTTATCGTTATCGTCAAAGCTTGAAAGCACAAAAGTAAGGTCGAATGTCTCGTCATTTGTATAATCACGATATTGATCGTCACTGATGGTGTAAAGCTCAAAGGTGCTGTTGTACGTCAAGTTAAGACTTTGGGCAAATTGGTCGCAAGCCTCGTCTGGTAGCCACAGGTAAGGAGTGCTGCTATCAATGATGGCGAAGAAAGACGAGTTCCATTGGGAGAGCAAAGGTTGCTGAGATTCCCAAGAACTAGGAACATCTTGGCCTTCAGCGGGTGTTATCTGGATGCCACGGACCATAGGGCGCTCCAGATTGTCTTCCTGGCTGAGTGTAAAGACATTATCATGGCTTTTAAATCTTGGTGTTTCGACGCCTCCAAGAGTCAGTGATACAGGTTTGTTTCCTAGTTATGTTAGTGTCTTTAATAAAAGAGGTCGCATGTAGGGCAGCATACTGTAGTATGCTCCAGCTGTATATCCGAAGCTGTAACTTGGAATCAATCCATACGTCCCGACTGCTTGGGTCAATGGTGAATCCGCCACAGTGCCGTTGAAGTTACTCTGTGTGATACCCAAACCGAAGAGTCCGTTCAAGTAGTTGGTCGTGTTTATGGCCGCTATTAGCACACCGTCCATGGTATACGCATCATCACTGAGAGGGCTTTGCGTGATGATAACATCACGCCCGTAGTTGCCATTCCCATCGTAACCAAGATAGCTTAGACCTAGCTGCCATGTGCCTAGGGAGCTCCAATCGCTAGATTCTTGAGGGTTGTAGATGCCTCCGCGAGCGGCGATACAGTGAGGCTCCTCTAACAGATTGTTAATGGCAGATTCAGAATAGAAAGGTATCAATGACTACTTGGATTTGAGAAGCCAAGCTGAAGAAGGAACGACCAAGTGAGGAAAACATACTGGGTAGACATCCTCCCGGTCCAATGGCCCAGAATTCGGAGAGAGCCGTGCTCACCAGAACCTCAATGGCCTGTGAATTTGAACCCAGGGAAAATGAGATGGTAGACCAATTGCCATCGCTCCCAGTCCTGTCTTGTGTTTTAGAATTGACTGCAACAAAACGGAATCGAGTAACTTACCAACCACCAGAGGGCAACAAAACAGGTGCTGGGTCACGGGCTTGTGCTAGTTGCGCGAGAAGGAAGTACGATCCAAGAATAATTGGCCACATCTCGAGTCTGGCAGACAGATGTGAGAAAGTCTGTCGTCTTTGACCCTCACCAAAAATGTCATCCTAGGTTCGAAGCAAACATCCAACGAGATTTATTGAGCCGATAGAGTGGAGGTGACCGCAATGCGGCACATTCAACGTCGCGATTCACACCAAACAACGATCCCAGTGTCCAGTCCAGGGTCGCAGTTAACACTAACAACAGCAGAGCGACAGGGAGCCGAATCCTTCTTGGTGATGGCCACTATTGTACAACTCTGGCACGGAATAATGATTCGTTGAAGCTGCCAAGGCCGGATAAGAGTGTAAACCAGTGGGTTTGGTGACAATGGAACTGGGAGTTTGTTGGAGCAGCCAGGGCGAGGCGACTGAAGATTAACGAGTTCTGGCCTTGTGCCCCTTCTCAGTGGCCTTGGACTGAAAAGAAAGCCACAGAGTAGCGTTACATGGCTTTGGCCATTTCTAGCTTGGCTCGGCCCCCAACGCTATGTATGATGCGGAGCGCGGAGTGTTCCTTGGCGTTCACTAGGCCATCCTGAAGAGGTCGCAAGGGTAACATGTTCGTTATTGGCTGAGTTGAACAACCTTATCATCTCAAGTAGTTCCCTCTTCCATCTTGAATACATGGCATCCACGAAGCAGGACTGTTTAGTTGGAGGGGAACTTACGGTCTTGTCAAGTTGCATTGCCATCTGGACTTGTCGGTGCTGTAGAGTTTCAAGATATTGTTGCACCATGTATAGCTGTGATTTACTCTAAATTGTTCGATTGTACCATTAAGTGATATCGTAGCACCTTCAAGGAAAACAAAATAGTTTGTTGGTGCTTTTGAGGTTCTGGAAACGATCCTGGTCCCTGTCAACAAAGGGCCTCGATTCGTCTGACATGGCGAGCATACTCGGCGTAAAACCCTGACGCCGGCTAGTCGGTGGCTGGAAAGCGTTGCACGACTAGTAAGACCCTGGCTGCAGGTTCAACGATATCAATCAATACTGACGGGTCCATCAATATCAACTTGTGTAATAAACTTGTCTCACCGAGTGCCCGTCAACTATCAGTTAGGTCAGCATAACATGTGAATAAAATTTTAAGCTACGGTTTAGGGTGTATAGGCATCCGCATGATAAACCAGAGCTTATTCCACAATGGCAATTTCCGACAACTTAAAGATCATCGAAATCGGACCCGAAACTGACGGTTATGGGTGTTGCTGCCGGTCGGGTGTGAAAATTGCAAATACCGGAATTTTGCTTCTGATCCATCTTCTTCAGCTCCGTGTGCCTGTGTATCCAGATTGTTCAGCTCCATGTGAAAAACTGAATGGATATCAATTGTTTGAATTTCAGCTGGATGTAACTTAAGACATCATATTGGGCCCGCGTAACTTTGATTGTCCCACCGTTCCCACCGAATGTTTCCCGGAAGGTCGGGACTGATGAGGTGGTAACCCTCTGGGTTAAAGTTCTGCAAATTATCGCTGGCTCTTCCGACTTTTTTTTGGGACCTTGGTACGTCAAGGAGATAAAGTGAAACCTGAACAAGTGGTGATCTGCCAAGGGGAATCAATCGTTCTGGAGTGTCATGTTCTGGGCCAGACCGAACAGAGTTGATAGACGCATTAACAAGGGAGTTTTCGCATAGGATGAAGGCATCAGCCACATGCATTCTGGGCTTTGTGGTGGGTGTCAACACAGCACACAGTGCAACTATGAAAGGCCGGACTGTTGTGTCTCCCGCCACCAAAGCCCTTCGGAGCTATTCTACTAGATCGAGGGCAAAAGTCAGATCCAGAGATGAAACAATACCAGAAAGGAAGGCCCTGAGAGGACAGTATAGGGTCGAGTCAATTAGCAGCCCCAGATGACCTGAACTTACATGGTTCGTTCGCTTGCGCTTACGCCTTGGACGACGTAACCCCTTGTCATTATGCACTAGAGCCAGTTGCTAGAACCTAGGTTAGAGGCTGGAGGCGGGTTCATTAACCTTTGAGCCCCTCCTCAGGCATGCATCGGATCTTGTGATTGATTTTCTCTCCTTATTATTGACAACGTCGAAAGCCGTTGTGGTCACTGCGTTGAAGAACCATCTATAGGTGGCCGATGTGAGACCGGTTCATCAGACACGGCCCAAATCACTCGCTTAGAGGCCTGTCCTAGTCGGTTTGACTTGGTTTGGTGAGCTTGGATGGCAGACAAAAGGAGCTCAAAACGATCAGGGCGACAGTTGATATAGTACGGAGCAGCCCGTCTATGCTGTCTGTGTGTTGTGCTATATCGACAATATGAGGGCACAAGCTATTGGACTGCTCTCAGTCGCAACGCTTGTTCCTTCTATTGTCGGTGTTGCTTTACCTCGATGTAAGTCTTCGAATTGCCCCATTAGCGTATCTCATTGTGCATCCATTCCCCTTGAAAGATGAAGGGATGGGGAAAAAAAGAATCATGGCTAAAGATTACCTTGTCCATCAGCCCCATCCGAACCTAACCAGCCAAACCCTCGGCGCTTTCCACTGAATGAAACGGCCGTCGCGATTGCCCCAGACGGCAGTACCACTCGCTTGTTATCGATAGCATCAACGTCAATAACACAGGTGGAAGAGGAATTTTCCTCTTTTCCTGGCCAAGCATTTTCTACTGAAGTTAACAAGTCAGCTTCGCCAAAGAACAGTTCTGATTATTCTGTCCAGAGACTGCCAATAACTTCACAGTTGGATCAAGAACCGACCACTTCATCTGAGAGCACTCGACTTACTCTAGTAACTCATCTTCGATCTTTCTCGGAACCTTCAACTTCACGTTTCTTCCAGACAATTCCTAAATCTGTTGCTCCGGCGAATGGCAACCCGTCTGATCATGATAGAGGTGCAAGCTCTGTAGCAACTCAAGCTGATATCCAGGCTTCGGCTCAGAGGAGACCACACCAGGGGTTCGCACATTCTTTTACACAAGCCGCACCCAATAATACCAAACTGCAAACACAAACATGCGGTCCTGGCTCCAAGTCTCCCTGCGGCTGGATTCCCTCAGTTACTTCGAAAGGAAATGAGACATACACACCTGGGCCATGGACGTCTGGTACACTGACGCTGATAGCACCAACGTCAGTGTTGCCGTGCACGACATTGCAGGACAACGAACCCATCACCGAGTATTCCATCGTGTATACATCGACGATAACATTCTTTGGAAACCGAAGTGATTACACGCCACCCTATCCTACTATCAGTACCCCCAACATTTGCGAGACCGAGGCCCCAAGCCCATCATTCTCAAAGATTGTCCCATCTCATGGCTCCGAGGGAGCCGGAACACTACCATGGCCAGGGTCTGAATTAACTAAGGAGCCTCCTCAAGGTTGCTTACGGGGAAAATCTTGTACTTCGGAAAAGCCTCCTGGGTGGTCGAATCCGACAGCCGTTCCTGGAGTGCCAGGCTTAACTATGTCAAGTTCACGAATGACCGTGACATTTATAACGACTGACAAAAACCCTGCGGTTGTATTCCCTACAAAGCCGCCACCGCACTTCGACCGACCGACCGGTGGAGGGGTTCTTCCTATGAGTAATAAACAACTACCCGAGCCTTCCAAAGCACCGGGCTCAAACCACCCAGATTCTTCTGGGGGGCACGGAAAGTCGAGTCCCCAGTCAGGGCCCCAGCCTGACGTGAAACCGCGACCTTCAGCAGAATCCGGACCAAGGCCAACATCAGAACCCCAGCCAGAAATCGAGCCACAAGGAGGTCCACAGCCCCAATCACAGCCTGACGCTAAACCTGAACCCCCTAGGAAGTTTTTTGTGACTGCCAGAGGTCAAGAAGTTATTGTCAATGATAAGACCTTTTCGAGTCTCAGAGCAGATCAAACAACAACAGTTACTGTCGATTATGGAACATTCACAATCCGCCCAACAGAAGTGGTTGGTGAAGGAGCAACAGTTAAGAAACCGCAGCCTGTAGGTACTGTGATATCTGTTATCAGCCCTACTGGTGCGACTATTGGAGAGGTACCTGTTACTGTTTCGGGTACGGAAGCTACTGTGGGCGGCACGAGGCTCAAGATTCCTCTTATGGGCACGACCACAAGGCTTAAAGTTCTTGTCGCCGGGTCCAGTACTATTATGGAGGAGCGACAGGTGTCCATTGCGCCTGGTAGAGTGGTGGTTGATGATGAAACACTCACATACCATGGGGTCGGTGGCCCTCAGACAGACGTAATCATTGAGGGTGGTGAAATGGTCACTGCAGTTGGAAGATCCGTGTTTGTCTTTCACTCTACGACTCTGATATACGGAACTGGCGCCCCCGTTACAACGGAAACAATAGATGACGATACTATCACTGTTGGACCAGAGGGTATTGTTGTCGACGGGACCACTCTAGGCGGGTCTGACGCTGAGGTTACCGACACCAAATTTCGGATTGTTGGTGGGGCTACTATCACCAAAGTCAACCCTTCATACGTGATAATCGACGAAACGACCTTCACTGCCGGGCCTGGTGCCAAGAGCACAACAAAAGAGGCCGGGGGTGAGACCATCACAATCGGGCCCAGCGGTATCATCATTGGCACAATGACAATAAAGTATCCCTTTGGGGCTTCAACTGTAACCACCATCGAGGCGAAAGCGACAGCGTCCGATGAGTTACCTGTTGCTACGGGAACCAGCAACACCAATGCTAAAGAGGACGGAAAGGGTAAGAAAGACGATGACAGTGGTGCGATTTTACAACAGCCAGGTTTAGCAACAGGAATGACTGGATTTTGCATAGCGTTTGGCGTTTGGATTCTGTTTTGAACCTGGCATTGGTCACGATTCACCATATTAGGGTCCGTGTCAGGAAACAGATTGGCTTTTAGCACCTAGGTTTTAATGGCATGACAGTAACTAGCATTGCATGAAAGAGATTTGGAATTATGGATGGGAAACACGATATACGACTAGTTGGCTTGTAATTTATGACTGGGATTGACGTTATAATTACAAAGGGCATCTAAAACGCGAGTAAATATGTATTACTATTAGTTCCTTATTAAATAACCAGGAAACTCCCCAGATAAATTCTTGGAGCCTAGTGAGTATTATGGCTCGTTAAATAGGACTGATTAAAATCTTATTTCAGTACTTGTAAGTTATAACCTATATAAATATGGGCAACCTTAGCACTATTTCATAAGGTTTATAATACTAACGATGAACTATTGGCGTCCTGGCTAATTCTTCCTATATGAACAGCGCAGGATCAGCTTTGAATGAAGTTCTCTCAATGAGTTCTGCTTTAGTTTTTCTATGTTTTTTGTTAGATTCTTCGATATAGTACAGGAAATCAGCAGTTCTAGACTCCTCACTTTTTCAATTATGGAGAAATCTAAGTAGCTGAAAGCTTAAATATAATTGCCATAAAAAGATAATAAGCCAATCAAAGGCTGGCAGAAACTCGTATTTGGCGAAGATACCTTAGTATGTGGGAAGCGTTCTAAACTTCTAATAAGATCCAATTCAAATGGCTGATTAAGCTTAGAAGTCCCAGGGGAATAGTCCAGGGGTGTTAGGTAATGAACTTGTCGTGCGACTGTTATTTGGTTTTAAGAATTCCAGAAGTTTGCTTCCAGAAATGATGATCTATTTCTTGTAGGGTAGATATTGTCAGTTTCTATATTGTTAACTTGGCAGCCAAACCAGAAAGGTTTCACTACCTCACTCATCCATGCCTCAAAACATCAATACCAACTTATACACTGATGATGGGATTCCAGTGTGTGTTGAAAATTCTGACCAACGAGTAAGCTGCTGGAGGCGAACTTGAAGTGGCTCCGTCGCGAACACCTTGATGACTCACAGTATCTAAGTCGAGCTCAACAGGCAACGATAATGTCAATGAGGAGGTGATATGACCCGGGAAGAAAGAAAACTTAGAAAGACAAGACAAACGTTTCAATAACGACTTCTTACAACATCTTACCACTTCATCGAACACGATGTCTTATAGTGGTTGTCTATTGGCTCATCAGTGTATCAATAGTGTCTCGCGCCGGCTTATCATCGGCAAAGTTCAAGATCGGATACTCGACACGCCGCGAGGCAAAAAAGGGAAACTTCCTCTTGGAACGATCATCACCTTGACCAACACCTCATCTTCGCGACGATATACCACAACAGCGCACGAACAAGCTCCTCATCTGTTTCAACATCCTCGCCCCGGCGTCCTAGACTGTGCAGATACCTTGTGCACGGTCAACACCCTTATCCCCCGAGTCCCAAGCCTTCAGCTATATGCAACAAGAGCCTCTCGAGAATCTAGAACCTTTGATTCACCGAGACAACCCTTATAAAACCTCGATCTCCCAGCATGGCCCCATTCACCATGACCCGTGTGGCCTTCGTCGAGTCTATTCCGGAGACTCAAGTGGCGCTGAACCAGGCTCTGCACCGGCACTCCGCCGCGACTCCGGTCATGACGTCGATGCCGACTTACTCGATGAGGAGCTACGTCGACTGAGTTTGGGTCATCGCTCAACTGTTCGACCTTCAGCTCCTGGCCAGCGCATCTCCGAGTACGAAAATGCAATGACACCGCCTACTCCAAAGAAGGCATTGGGCTTCAAGGTTATCAAGCGCTCCGAAACTCCTTCTGATGGTGTGCAGCTTGAAGATTTCCCAAATGGTGCGTCATACCGTTCATTATGATATTTTTACAGTATCCTAACTTGAGTTCACCCCAGAGATCTTAACACATATTCTTTCGCATCTCCATTCCGACTCGCACGCCGCCATTGCTCTCGTCTCCAAGCGCTTTTATGCCCTCATCACCAGCTCCCATGCTTGGCGCATGGCCTTCCTACGATTCTTCCCAGGTCATGAAGCACTCGAGGTTAAGAAAAATGTGGATATGTGGGCTTACAGCTCGCACGATCTGATACAGTCTGAGTCTCGTTATTTCACTCGTCTTACCCCCCTAGCATCCTGGAGAAAGGAATACCTTCTGCGCACCCGCTTGATCAGAAGTCTGGCCCGTGGTAAACCAGGTGCATCCTTTGCCTCTGGAGGTATTGGCGCATCTGTTCGTACCGGGAAGAAAACCAGCGCTGTGTTGACGTACAACTCCAAGCTGCCATGGGCTGTCACGAATATTCACGCTGTCTTCACAAACGGAAAGAAACCACCAAAAGCTATCCACGGAGCCGCCGACCTGGGAGTAGCCTCAGTCAGTGACCCTACCAACGGGAGGATTGAGAAATGGGGATTCGTTGATCCCTTCAGCTCTATGCAACTTGATGAGGTGTTCCCCGACCTTGTTCCCTTTGGCTTGGGGGAGGGTCCCGCAGCAACTCCCAATGTTCTCGATGTAAGCCAGCCATATGGTATCCTTGCAGGTGAGGGATTTCCGGGTGGTCGTCCCTATTACCGCCCTGTCAATGAGAACCGTGGACGATATCTCGGTGCGGATTCTGGTGTTGTTGATACCTATCCTGATATCCCTAAGATACCAGAAATGTCTGAAGCGGTCTGCAGTGTATGGTTGGCCAAATCGCCGAATGTGCCAACAAATACGCGGTCAATGATTGGGATGCTGACTGGCTCTACCCTTGGAGTCGTCACTTCATACACCCTGGGCAATGACTCTGGACCTCAACGTTATCAACCCGGAGAAGTTACTGCGCGTTGGGTCCTTAGTCCTGGCGTTCCAATCATCTCTCTAAAGGTTGATGACAACTATAGCCAGAAACGCAAGTCTTCTGCAAGGGTATGGATCGTTGCGCTCAATGCTTTGGGTGAGGTATTCTATCTGACTGAAACACCTACTGCACAAAACCCAACCAAGAGCGAAGACATCACCAAAAATGCTTGGTTTGCTGGGCGCTCAGTTTACTGGCACCTTTTGGACTCCACTCGACGCGTTGCTCGACCAGATGATCTGGACAAAAACGCCATCAAAGGCGCGTACTCGCCCCGGTCACCTTCCAACTCTATGAGCCTGAGCAAGAGTCAGTTGGCTGCTGAAGCACGAGAAATTGAAAAGTTCTTGCGCCAAAAACCTGCACACTTCCGAAGGGTTTGCGAAGGATGGGATATGCAGCGCAAATTGGAAGTCGATTTCGCTAATGATGACGGCCATGGTGCTGGTGAAAACATATTTGTCATCGACTGTGGACTCGCCGAAGACCGCCCTGCACACGTCGAGCGATACACTCGATCTTTAGTTCCTCAAGATGTACAATCGTCTTCGGTCGTGTTGTTCCCCATGCCCCTTGATAACTCCGCCAGCGCTGAGCCGTCACTATTCGGGACTATTGCAGGAAAGGCATCACAGGGGCCAGAGGAGAAGATATCTCAATCTGTCACGTCTACTTCAGTGTCATCATTGGAGGTCCTGTCCCATCTTCACGAGTGGGAGAGTTGCTCCTTTAGGTTGAAAGGTCAAAGTCATGCAGTGATCACTAGTGCCTCAATGGACCAATCTAGCACGGCAGTCCTGACACTCGGCGAAGATCCTCTTCACTCGGCTGAGGAAGAGATTCCAGGCCGCAGATCTCGATTGTTTGCTGTCGGCACAGACGACGGGGCTGTACTTGTCTGGAACGCTCGTGAGGATGCCAAGGCTACGGGTATCAGCCCAGTGCGACAAATCCAGACGGACTCCCCAGAAGTGTCCTGTGTGGCACTCTCGGCTATGTATGTTGTCCATGGCGGTAGCGACGGACTGGTGCAAGCATGGGACCCCTTGGCATCAACATTGGATCCAGTTCGAACTCTCAACGCGAGGTCCAACGGCCGAGTGCCTCGACACATGGTGACAATGAACCCAACTCTTGACGAGTCGACTTACTCGGCAGTTGGTGCAATTTATCTTGACCCTGATCCAACCGTCCTTCGTGGAGTTGTTTCATTTGGTGCTTTTCTGAGGTACTGGGCATACAGCTCTGCCAGTCACGCTTCAGGACGCAAACGTCGGCTTAGACACTCCGATGTTCATGGTCGTCTGGCCAGTCGTCGTCAAGGCGGAGCAGTCATTGATTTTATCGCTGCTGAGGAGGCTGAAATCAAAAGGGAGAACGAGCAAAAGGCCAGAGAGCAGAATCGCCTGCGCAATCGCTTTGGTGTCGGTGCGCTCGGTGACCTAACTGAAGAAGAAGCATTGCGGTATGCGCAGATGGTCTCTGAGGAAGCCTTCCTTTTCGAGGAACAACGTCGAACAAGCGATTCCGCTGCCGATGCCAGCCTGGATACTGCTTCGACATTCAGTGAGACCACTACTGTTGATACCGTCACCCCCGAGCCAAGTGTCTCGGACATGATAACTCCCCCATCTGCCTCCACGGATAATATTGAGAGAGCACCTGTCGAGGACGACTATGAACAACAGATTCAGCAGGCAATCCGTCTTTCTCTGATGGAAGGCGTCAATGATAACCCCACGTCTCCCCAGGCAGCGAGCTCCGGTGATTACGAATTCTCCCTGACATACAAACCCAAGTCCGGCAAGAAGAACAAGACATCTGGAGCTGTGTCGCCTGGAGTTTGCAAGGCGTGGTCGGCAAACCACATAGAGCCTAGGGACTATGACCTAGAACTCGCTCTGAAACTGAGCATGGAGGAGCAAGGTCTGTCGGCGTTTGACGCAGGGTCAGTCGTTCACCGCGAGGAGTTCCCGGCGCTGGAAGCTGAAGGCGTTGGTAAGGGGAAAGGGGTACAGAGGTGGTGATTTAGAGTATTTGCTGCATTGTGTGTCTCGTCGTTCACCGCTTTACATTCGATGCCATGGGTCAACACGATACGTGTTCGATCCGCTGGCCTAGCTTTTACATAATTGGACCTTCCATCGGTATATGTCCTTTCCCGCGCGAGCTGGTGCCTTTGGTGACCAAGTGAACATCGTGATATGATTGATCATCACGAAGCATACTTGTGATCGTGTCAATGTGTCCTCAGAGATTGTCCTGTAATCCGCAATGGGTCTCCTAAATCGAGGCCATCATCTCGAGTGGCATTGCCGATGTTTCCGACTCTCTCATCTGCCAAGCTTAGGTCATCTCATTCCTGTAATTTTGTACCTATAGGTATTCCTTTCGAGGAGTACTCTTTTACTATGGCTAGCTATCTAGGCGGTCCTTGTATGGAATCGTAATGTGGCCAAGTTTTCGCCTTCTCCGTCTGGAATCTTTTAATTAACAACGGATTTATCAGCCAACATTTCCACTCTATAACTCTTATTTACACAAACGACCTCGAGTCATACGTGATTAGTCATTCATCCATCCAGTTCAGTCCGTCCCTTGCCATCAACCGTCATGATCAAGATGTCTATGTGAGCTTAGCGCAGACAAACGTGCTGAAAGTCCTTCCAGAAAAGTGCCTGACTCTTCCTGAGCCAGGCCTCCTCGTGTATATGGCAACTATATCAGAGATATAAATTCCTTTAGGATGCTCGCCTATGAAGGGACAAGATGTTGCCCCTTGTCTCTGGTATATAGCCCAGCAACGGTTCTCTAGACAGACAAACTTATTCACTGGAGATTATCGCTTCTACTTCTCAATTCAAAGATGTTTAAGTCATTTTGTCTCTTTTGGATGATTCGGCTTCCCCACCCGCCGCTTTGATCACGACAATTCGTTGAGCTTGCACCTAGTAATCAACACATTCGTGAAACATTAGGCTCTTGTTATGTCAGTAAAGCTATGCCTCGGCCTTAGCGGCCTTCGGAGCACCTTGTACTGGTGATACCAAATGACCAGTGACTGTTTGTTTTCGTTTTCCCAAGCAATGAACCGCTTTTCACTTCAATACACACAAGGACAAAACGCATTCTTTGTTCCTGAGCATGTTGCTAGGAGTATAGCTGAATGATGTAGGCTTTTCTATTTCTAACACGTAATATGCTCTTTTTCTTCTGAAGGCCCAGACACAAATTTAGAGAAATCCCAATTCACCTTGTCCTCGCTGGTTGGTCTCTTTACTGTAGGCTCTTGTTTCATCGACCTTTTCTTCTGGGCCACTTCCTCTGAGCACTTCTGAGTGCCATAGGAAGAAACCACCTACTAGAACATTACTTAATCGAAAGTCTCTAGTTCGTCAAGTTGGCAAATGGAGCTTCAGGCCATTCCATCATATGCAGATATCTCTAATGCTACTGGACGCATAGTATCAGCTCGTGGTGAATGGGGGTATAGGGTAACTAAAAGATTTTCCACCTACCTACCTATTGAACGGGCACCAATTGACACTAAGCCTACATACACCTTCCTTGGCTGGAATTCACCTGAACTAAAGTTTGGTTTAGAATTCTCACTAACAAAGGGCCGCGAAGACATGCCCCTGATACTCGCAGTTGCTCCGCGGGCGCAGTGTTAGTGGGAGCATTTGGAGGTCCCGGTCCATCCGGCAGATGAGAACAGACCAGCTTGCGATTTTGCGACCAAGGTCCTGTAAGTTACTGTTGCTATTCTCTCTCAAGTAACATCCCCGATCAAGGCATGTTGCTCGCATGTTCATGGATGAGTAGAATATGTCTCGGCTGCCCCGAGTTCACAAGAGCTATCACATGCTTGGAAGCAACCCCAAAACGACGCTCTATGAGGCAAGGCGAAATATGCAATATCATATCATTACACATGGCATAGACAAAGAGCTCAAGACTTTGGCAGAGTGCAACGTTGCAACTTGACGGCCAGGCTCCTCCCGGACCAACTTCCCGCTGCATGGAACTTATAAGGGACCTGCATAAGAAAGGCATCTCCAAGGGCCCAGTTTTTGCGGTTCAAAGATCCTGAGACTTGCGTGAACCGAGTCTCTATTCTCCGAGATATACTGGAGCTTCAAGGTTTCTGAGTTGCCAGCTCATCACTCCCAGAGAGGTGAGGAAGCCACTATGTAACTCAGAACGAAACAAAGGGACAACCGGTAGCGTCCCGAGCAACAGCGTTCGGGGCACGGTCCCTGATCATAGAGCTGATCTTGCACTCTAATAGAACTACTATCAGGAAGCATGAGAATAGCTGCTCGCGGCTGAAATGCGGCGTTCCGGCCGCGCTGGGTTGTTCCTAAGTTTTCAGCACTTGCTCCAGTAGCCGGATATTGGTGGCGGGGAGCGGATCCGCGGGACGGGATGGGCCGCAGCGCCACTGATGAAGTCGTAAAGGATCCAATTCTGAACGGACGTTTGCTTCATTCAGCGATGTTGTGGTAGGCATTTGCATGATCTCGACAGAGAATCCGTTATGTTGCTGTAATTGTTGACAATAGTACTTGCTCGCCACGTAGTTGAATTAGACATCCCTGCTCAAGAACCTGGTCGTTATGACGAAGGTTTCTGCACTGCTGGCTCCGGTCTATTGGGTCATCAGGCCATGACACCAAGAACTCAAACTCGGGGATACATAGCGTTGCAGCATGCAGCTAAAATCCAATCCAGTGCGCTGCAGACTTCAGACCAATGGGCAAAGTTGGCTTCTGAATCAGCGCCCACTGGTGCTGCAGCGCTCTGCAGATAACCGGCCAGCGTATTTCGGCTGTAGCAATTATGTAGTAATGAACAAATAGATGAGGCCTTAGAAATGCTCAGGGAGGTAATCACCCCAGACAGACCCGTCTTCGGGTGTAAATATGCCCGACGAATGTCTTGCCTTTCCAGGGACTGTCTCCGACCAAAATCAGGCCCTCGCATGCTATCAAGAAGTGCGTATCAGGAGACCGGAGCAATGGTGAGTTTTTGGTCAATGCTGCCACGGATAACCAAGGGTCTTTGTCGTAGCAAGTGCATGCTTTTTACCTGTCTTTCATTTCTGTTCTTGTTAGCTCGCTCGGTTAAGTCCCTTCTGACGGTACGCGAAACTGTTTTCCTCAACCCTTGTAGGGGTCAAAGTTAATCCTTCGATAGATTTGTGTGTCCTTGAAGCTGATTGCCTGCCCCCATCAGTAACCCTGCCAGACTATCCGAAAACATTTTAATAGCCGACCCAGGGTTCACGGCCGAGAAGGATATCATTTTCCGTGCTCCGCCCTAGTATGGTTGAGTACTGTACTGATCAGTGTATCTCGATCAATTTTTTCTCTCTTAACTGTTGGGAATGCCGCCGCCGCCGAATATTGGCAGGGGAATGTGTCTGATATTTGCTGCACTGTACTGGTGCCAAATTGAGGCGGAGCTCACGATTCGTAAACAATGCAGACATATAACCAATGCGAAGTTTTTGCTCGAATGCAGATGATGAAAAGGCGTTCGCTGCAGTGGCCGGCAGAGGAATTGACCCCTCTCGACCTTGTCGCCCTTACCTGATCCAGACTATGTGCACAACACACAGATGCGTCTGTACGTAGTAAATGAGACACGAAAGCGGTCAAGGCCTGTAACATACCATTGACATGGTCATATGGACCAAGCCGCTGGGAATTTGCTCAAGGGTTCCCGCCGACTTGTCTCAGGAACTGGAACCGGTCAGCTGGATATCATCATTTATTGGGAATGACTCAAGCCCCTCTACCGGGAAATGCAGATCAACGGCTGTCTCGTCAGCATACACATCTCGTTCCGTCGATCGTGTTTGTTATTAGCATCAAGATCGAGTTCTGATCCGTTGATCGGACCTCCTTGTCACGCAGCAGTTCCCGTCTTCCAGATAAACTCCCGTCGTGCATTATGACAGCTAGTTACCGTTGGGACGGTTCGCGGAACATCATGAATATCTTCCCACAAAGTTAGCACCAAACCTTCCATGTCCTGTCACCGTCCTTCCACTCCCTCGAGAAAAGTACCCAATAGTTTCACTTCTTAAATGTCTCAAAACTAATAATATTTTCCCCGTCCAAGCTCCTATTAGCCAAGAGAGCAGTGGCGGGCGGGTCGATCCACCAGGTTGGCACAGTCGTGGGCGGGAGCCAGCGGGTATCTTTAAGCTGCAGGACGGGCGAGACTGAAAATCAGCTCATGGCGCTGGATGCAAGCAAGTCATGCTGTGCAGCAGAAGACCGCCATGAAAAGTGCTCGAGTTGTGATCCGTAACACAGGAGCCAAAGAAAATGTTGAGCAACCAAGAGCCCAAGGGAGCAAAGCAAACTGATTTGCCTTGTCGACCAGAAAGTCTTTGATAGTTTGCGTTTATTTGTTTCAAACACGGCATTGAGCCGTGGAAATCAGTGGGCCACTCTTAGTTGCTGGAATGTTGCATCGAGCTACAGTGGCTCCGAGGGAGAAACCATCATGTCCCTGTTTCCCAGGTTGACGGTCCTATGAACGTGGCCTATTTACGGAAGGCATAAAATCTGGTGCAGAATGGCATTTGACAATTGCACTGTCCTTTGCCAGCGAGTCAGAATTAACGCCAATCCGTACTGATATGATACATCATAATTGTTTGTTCGGACTTTTCTTTCCTTTCCAGTCTTTCAAGTCTCGATCCGGGAAGATCAGACAAGTCTGAGATTCCAGCCTTGGGATCATGTCTAGCATGCCAAACTTCATGATCACAAGTCGCCAATAGTTCATGTGACTGAGATCCAGGAAGTGCAGCAACGTCGTCACTCGCTGGTATGTTTAGAGGCCAGCAAGGGGAGGCGGTATGGAAATATTACTGCAGACAATCAGAAGTTAGAGCCAACCGTCTGGAACCCTTGCGCATCTGAGATAACCACATGTATGTCGAGACTGATGGTGTCAACGCCTAACCATCTGTGTCGGAATCGAGGCAGACCGAGAACCATGTCCAATGAAGGCAGGAGAGTTAAGAAACCCTTGTAATTGCAGGACAGTGCAAACTCTCTCGCGAAGGACGATATGAGGATGGAACTCGAAAAGTGGCATAGGTATCATAAACCCGCGGGATGATTATTAGT